TATAGAGCTTCTCTATCCTCTGCTTGTTAATCATGTCTGTTAAGTTGTTATTGTTGTTGGTTTTTTTCCTTTTTTGGTTTTCAATTTTTTGACGATACAGATACTACTGGAAAAGATGCAGGCAATCACCACCAAGTAAGACATTGTTTTCATTTATGTTATTTGCGATGGATTCTTTATCTCTGAATTGGTGAGATCTTCAAGGAACAGTTTGCACATCGTGAGAACAAATTACGAATATTAAGAGGGAAAACAATTTACAGATATGCTTTGCTTAGGTCTGGTTCGAATTCACACCTTTATGACTGACTGTTGATTGAGACTTAAACTTTTTAACGCCGTAGACATAGTGGGTAAGTTGTAATGCTTCTTTTTCAAGGGAGGGGAGTTAGTCTAAAAGTAAAATGTATGCATCCACCTGAAGTGACTTTCCTTTCTACCAAACACAGCATTGTGGCCTTGGAAAATGATACTCAAGATTTCATGGACAAACTGGAAAATTTCTGTGATGTCTGCCCAAAAGTATGTGATGTTTTAGAGGCCAATTTTTTAGCGAGTCGGGAAGGCCAACAAACGAGAAACACTGTTGAATAGCCTTTTTTGCATATCCCCGTGATCGCTCTGCCATGCTTCATTGCGCTCCTGGGTCAAAAATTTTGTGGTTCCATCAAAACGCGTCCGTTTTATCGTTCGGTGCTTGACCCAATGACCCAGCTTTTCTGGTCAAGATGATTAACGAGCTCAACCTTGATTTAGATACCGCCAAGATCAATATCAAGGTTTACTTTATACAAGAAAGTGTATTTTGTTTTTCGCCCGCACTGATTATGTAGTTCGCAAGTGATTGACAAGTTCTATTTATCTCGAAGCAGCTGAAGAGACAAAATTGCGTGTGAATAATTTGACTCCCGACCATTTTTTGGTGTAATGACAGATATAAACTAACTTTTTGTTTCTGTGTGGTATGTTATAAACTTCAGTGGCGAGGTAAATATCCACAACTTTCACCGACACTAAAGTGAAAGTTGTGGATATTTACCTCGCCACTTCGCGTCCCGGTTAATATCCACTACTATTCACTCCCAGTTCACAGAACAAGTAATGATTTTTTTCTTGCCCATTTACAGGATCGTTGCCAGTCCATTTTGAATCGAAATAATAACCGGTAAGCGGAATCCCACTGTTCAGCACCAGAAAAGTACCATAATTATGCCGGATTCAGGCTAGTTGCAAACCATCTTTTGGTTTTAATTTCTTTGTAGTAGGCTATAATACCAAAAAAAATATTCCTCGATTGAGGTAGCTAGCAGAATAGTGCACGAGAAATTTTGATGTCGCCTCAAAACCGGTCTTAAGAAAAACAGTGAATTCTGGTAATTATTGCTTTGAGAAAAACAAAAAAAAAAGAAGAGCGGAATAAAGGTTGGCAAGTGTTTACCAAGGAATAATGCCCATTGCCTCACAGACCATAGCGGCCGAGCCAAACATCTAATGATATGTTTTAGGGAAAACGTTTGGTTGTTACGTGTAAACTGGGAAGTACTAAAATCAGATGCAACTTGAAACCGAAAATAGCCACTTATTTAGTATAATAATGATGCTTTTGCAAAATTCCAACAGCCTGGAGCGAATGAAGGAAGTTGGAGATATGATTAAGGAGCGATACGACAAAATAGACGCCGAGGAGTCTGGTCAGGTATGCTAGTGAAAA